ACCACCTAATCCAAGTGATCGAATTTTACATAATTAATATGCAATGAGCTGCTATCACACAGCTCCTGATGTGATCCACCAAGAAGGCACAACATAACCTATGAGAATTCACACCAAAACTGTTTAACCTAAATATAATAGAAGAAGAACAGCTATGAAAGTCCAAATTTAGAGACTTTTGCAAAATAAATGGCTTCAATTCTCAAATAAACGAAAATCCATGTCAAAAAAATAGAGAATTATTTCATATTGAGAGATTAAAGAGGTATGACAACTAGATGCAATGGTGTAATACCTGACAGAATCCTGGATTTAAAATTTAAAAAGCCACAGGGAATTCCGTGGCAGTCCAGTGGTTAGGACTCCACACTTTAAGCCACACGGCATGGCCGAAAATAAAGAAAAGCTACAAATATTATTGAAACAATTTGGGAAATTTGAATATGCAGTATATTAGATAATGGTATTTTTATCAATGTTAAATTTACTAAGTGTGATAATTATATTATGTTTATGTAAACAATGCCCTTTTTCTTAGGCAATATATGCTAAAGAATGTAGGGTAAAGTGTCTTATTGGCTGCAACTTACTCTCGACTGGTTCAGAAAACAAAATGTATGAATACATGTATATATATATGGATGCTATATATGTATGGATCTATCTATCTCCAGAGAGAGGGAGAGAGAGAAAGCAAATATAGTAAACTGAATAATAGGTGAATCTAAGTGAAGGGTATGTGGGTGCTTATTGCACTCACTATTTTATAGGAAGTAAATCTAAACATTGGGCATCCACGGTGGTGCAGGGACACGGGCATGTGGGTTCGAGCCCGGGAAGATCCCACATGCCGCAGAGCAACAAAGCCCGTGTGCCACAGCTACTGAGCCTGTGCTCTGGAGCCCTCCAGCCACAACTACTGAGCCCACGTGCTGCAACTACCAAAGCCTGCGTGCCTACACCTGTGCTCCGCAAGAAGCAGCCACTGCAACGAGAAGCCCGCGCACCGAAACGAAACGTAGCCCCCTCTTGCTGCAGCTAGAGAAAGCTCATGCGCAGCAACGAAGACCCAACACAGCCAAAAATAAATACATAATTTAATAAGAATAAAATAAAATAAAATTTGAAAGAGAAAACAGCATTTAAAATCAGCCTCTGGAAATGCTATCACAGTCTACCTTGTAGGCTCTGTGAAGACTCCTATCCTTGAAACTCTCATAGGACTCCATGCATTTCTTTATCATATTCTATCCTCTGTCTTCTTTTTTTAAAATTTTATTTTAATTTTATTTATTATTTTTTTTGCGGTACGCGGGCCTCTCACTGTTTTGGCCTCTCCCGTTGTGGTGCACAGGCTCCGGACATGCAGGCCCAGTGGCCATGGCTCACAGGCCTAGCCCCTCCGCGGCATGTGGAATCTTCCCAGACTGGGACACAAACCCGTGCCCCCTGCATCGGCAGGCCTACTCGCAACCACTGCGCCACCAGGGAAGCCCTGTCTGTCTTCTTGTTAGAGTATTAAAGGAAATATCCATTTCTCCAGTCTGTCATTTATTACTTGTGTGATCTTGGGCAAATTAGGTTCTCTAAGTGTCAATTTTTATATTTGCAAAATGGAGATCAAAATAGTACCAACCTATAGGGCTGTTGTGAGGATTAAATGAGATAACACGTGTAACATTTAGCACCGTGCTTGTCTTATATTAAGTCCTCAAAAAGGTAGGGTGTTATTATTACTATTAGTATTACTATTAGGTCTTTAGTCTCAGTATTCTCACGCCAGTATAATGCTTGGCTCATGACAGATGCTCAGTTGTTTGTTGGATGAATGAATGAACCATTTTGTTGTTGCTATTGGGCATTATGTAAAAGGAGCTGGTACCTCAGGGAACGATAAAATGGTTAATGCCAAGGAGAATTATAGCCTGAAAATTATAGACCAGTAGATCTTGGACTTCTGTGGGGGAAAGGTAGAAATCTAATCTCAGATTCTGTGGACTTGCTTAATGTAAACATAGAGGTAATCCTACTATTAGCCTATGGGAACAGTCATTATTCTTTGCCTTGGCTGTTACTGCCCACCTCCCAGCCTGGGAACATACCTGTGTTTAGGCTTCAGGCCAAACATTTCTTGATCAAACCTTTGGTTCATCTTTTCTTCCAAAAATATATTTGCTAATGATTGACCACAAATCTTCTTCATAAAATATTGAAATTGAGAAGTCAACAACACATCAAAAGGATATCCATAATCTCCGACACGATTGAAGATCCAAGCCCCTCTTCTGGTGCTGAGGAAAACCTGAGGCATGGGGAAAGAATGTTTGTTTTTGCCATTCTGTGACTCATTTCTCTGAAGGAATGGGAACCCAGTTTCTTCAAGATGAAGTTCAGACTCATTAGTCTGGCTTTTCATTCCCTGGCAATATATATATTTTAAAATTTCCTGCCATTTTCTTGTCAAACACTAAGCTTACAATTAAATTGGGGTAGTCACTGACCAAGACTATGTCTTGCTCTGAACTACCAGTGCATTTCTGTTTAATGTCATTATGCCTCCCTGAAAAGCTTAATTCTCCAAAGCCTATTCATTTTTCAGATCCAGATCAAGTCTGCCTCCTCCATGAAGATACCACTGACTGTTCTGGCTGATAATTTTCTCTCCACCTTCTGAACTTCTCTAGCACTTGTCACCTGTCCAACTCATTTAAAATCATGGAACAGTAAAGCTGAAAGCAACTGGACATCACTAATCCAAAACCTTCAGTCTTTATTTTGCCTTTGACATTGTTTGCAGTATTAGAAAAAAGTATCATTTATGTTGATATTTAATATTATATATTCTTATCTTTTATCTTTCCAAATGTGTTTTCTCCAAGGTGGGAGGTAGAGCATATACATCCTTTAGTCCCCTACCTATCATCAGCATCACTTCCTTTTATTGAGAATTGTAACCTGTCAATCGCTGTACTAGGTCCTTTATCTATTTTTTTATTTAATCAATACAACAACCTCTTGAGGTAGGTATTGTTATGTCCTTTATAAGGGTGAGAAGAATGGAGAGGATGAATAACTTGCCTGAGGTCATATAGCACTAAGTGGTAGAGCTGAATTTCCTACCTAAGTCTGACTGACTCCAAAGCCTGTGCTTAAGTAATGTTTCATCGATTATTTAAGGGAAAAACTGAAGATTGCAAATAGCACAAAGGGAGCTGGTCCGTCTTTCTGTTATCTGCTGGCTAAAGTCCACATTCAGAGCTGATAAAAAGTTTGGTATTCAACTACCTGGCAAAAGCATCACTTTATATTATAAAACTCTCTGGAGATAGTTTCCTGGGTTGTAAGCTATATAAGTACATTGTTTTATGGTGTTTTGTCTTAACACTTCGTGTTAAAATGTGACCTGTCTATAGAGGGCTAATCATGTACTTCATACATATATTCTCACCGACGGTGACCTTAAACTCTACCATAATTAAGCACTTTTACGTGTCATCGTTGAAAGAGCCTGCGTGGTCTTAGGAATCAATGGCTTTTTGTGCACTCTATATAACTTTTAACATATAAGTTATGAGTAATGTAAATGCTCAGAGCTTTAATTAAAAAGTTCTCTGTGTATAAAATAGTGACAAAAATACATACGTCACAAAGCTTTTTCAGACACAACCACCTTACCTACACCGGCTCTTGCTGCCTTGTTCTTTGGCAATTTACAATTCCTCAGTGCTTGTAAGCCCTAGCTCCTCTACAGCTGACCATTTAACAAGCCAATGGTATTAAAGAAAGCTCATGCCTTCGGTCCCCACCACATACCTGGTACATTCTTTTATCATAGCACCCATACCCTTTATTGTTTATATACCTATTTCCTAATAAATGCTTGTTGAATTAATTTGTGGAGTAATATATGAAATCAGTTTTGTGGTGATCAATGGGGATAGACTGAGAGGAAGTGTTACTGAATGGAGTTTGTGGGTAAAGTTCAATTAACAAAGTTGTGGCATTAAACTTCTATTTTTAAAAATAATTTAAAAACAATTTGTGGAGAATCACAGCTTAATTAAAGTTACTGAAGAACAACCAGGCATTTATGTATTGCCAATAAAGTTGTGATTCAATAAATATATGAATAACAAAGTATATCAATAATGTCTTTTTTTTTAATAATGTCTTTTTCTAGGAATTTATAATGAAGATACTTCCTTCCCAGTTCAAAATCTATCATACAAAAAATAATACAAACCAAAAAACGCAAGGATATAGAAACTGCTTTAGAGTGAATGTTATTCGAAACTGCTTTAGAATGAATGTTATTCTGTTACCTAATTGTATGCAAAGGCTGGAGAGAGCTGCTTGTATGTGCTACAGTGTGGTGGTTGCTTTTCATACTGATATCCATGTTGTCTTTTTTTTTTTTTAGGATTAAAGACCTGATGAGAGTTCACTTTAATGCAATTGACTAGGAAATTTGATTGTTTCAGTCACATAACATTTTAAGATAATAACTGGAATTATGACTAATTACATTATAACCAGACATATCATGGACACCAAAGACATTGAAAAATTTCTAGGAACTTCATACAATTTTGGAAACATATTAATAACATATATACATAAAAATATAAACTAAAGAAGATTAAACATTGCTTCTTTTTTTCTCAAGAAACTGTAAATAAAATTTAATAGGGCATCATGTAGCCAGAAGGAGGCAGTGCCCCATTTAGAGTGATTGTTATGTCAAAGTGATCTCCTACAGGGAACTCATTAGACTGCAGGGTTACAGAATCATCAGTCTTCTTTCTCCTAGACATGGTACTTACTGCCAGTCTTCTTATTTGATAGCTGAATGTTTTAAGTGCCATAAAAGAATCACAGAATTTATCTATGTACCCTTTCTAGCTCCTGGGTAGATTTCTTGTACTAAACTAGTCAGTTTGTTCAAGGTTGCATTCAACCAGGTGTACCACTGTAGCTCACTGGATTGTACATTTCTGCAGGAGGACGTGTCCATTCCGTGATGGGAGACATTGCTGGTGGTGAAGACACACAGCAGCAGCAGGTACGTCTTCTCCTTTTTCTTTTTTTTTTTTAATAGATCTTTATTGGAGTATAATTGCTTCACAATACCGTGTTAGTTTCTGTTGCACGCCAAAGTGAATCAGCCATATGCATACATATGTCCCCATATCTCCTCCCTCTTGAGTCTCCCTCCCATCCTCCCTATCCCACCCCTCTAGGTGGTCACAAAGCACTGAGCTGATCTCCCTGTGCTATGCTGCTGCTTCCCACTAGCTAACTATTTTACTTTCAGTAGTGTATATATGTCGATGCTACTCTCACTTCGCCCCAGCTTCCCCCTCCCATCCTGTGTCATCAATATCCTCTATGTCTACATCTTTATTCCTGCCCTGCAACTAGGTTCATTAGTACCATTTTTTTTTTTTTAGATTCCATATATATGAGTTAGCATATGGTATTTGTTTTTCTCTTTCTGACTTACTTCACTCTGTATGACAGACCCTATGTCCATCCACCTCACTACAAATGACTCAATTTCATTTCTCTTTATGGTGAGTAATATTCCATTGTATATATGTGCCACATCTTCTTTATCCATTCATCTGTCGATAGACACCTAGTTTGCTTCCATGTCCTGGCTATTGTAAATAGTGCTGCAATGAACATTGTGGTACATGACTCTTTTTGAACTATGGTTTTCTCACGGTATATGCCCTGTAGTGGGATTGTTGTCTTTAGGAGGATTAGACTGCTTCTTTTTTCCATTTGGGGAGTAAAGAAGACAATTCCCCCACCATCCTAGGAGTGAAAAGCTTTCAATGACTGAGTACACTTTCCTTCAGATAAGAGCATTATCACTTCTACTGGCCAACAGGTGATCCACACTCTGAATGCTGCATTCTAACAAGCTCTCCCAGCAATCACCTGGTCTTCTTAAAAGCCAGAGGCAGACTCTGAAGAGACAGCTGAGTGAGATTATGAGCACAGTTTGTGGTCATATCCAAATTCCTTAGTGTGAGGCCAAGTGAATCATGGGAATCTAACTTGTAACCTTGGCTCCATCACATCATCAGTCAAAATGTTGCCAACTGAGGCAGTGAAACCAAGCCCTGCATTTGCCATTGGCACTGATGGGCTGTGTGCAGGTATCCGTACACTCTGCTGGGTCCACCTGCAGCTTCCTTGGTGAAGCAAAGTAAATAATTAACTAATTAAAACCTGTTTGGCTGTGTGGCCAATTTCCACAGCCAGATCGCTTCCAGAATTCCCAATGCCAATTATAATGACTCTCTTTCTGGTGAAACTCTCTGGATTATTATAATCTCGACTATGAAAGTATTGTACTTTGAACTTCTCAATTCCTGCAAGAGAAGGGAAAATTATTACTGGGTGATGGTTTATCTGATATCATTTGTTAAATCATTCATTTTTTTTTGCAGTGTGTAGAGTTTATGCATATATTCTCTGTATGTTCTCCTTTTACTCAGGTGCATTCTTACCTTTCTGAATATTTTTGCCTGTTTTCTTTTCCCATCACCTCAGAGTGAAACCTTGTGATTTCCTTATTATAAGTAGTCTGCTGAACTCAGGATCTGTTAGCATTTTAGCCCCGTGGGCTCACAAATCCTAACTGCTTCAGAAAACCTCCATTCTCTTTTGTCTTTTCACCCTCTTTATTTTTTTTAATTGAAGTGTAGTTGACTTATAATATTATATCAGTTTCTGATGTACAACATAGTAACTTGATATTTATATAGATTATGCAATATACAAAGTTATTATGATATTACAGTCTTTTGATTATATTCCTTGTGCTGTATATTACAACCCTGTGACTTTTATTTTATAACTGGTAGCTTCTATCTCTTAATCCCCTTCACCTATTTTGCCCATCCCCCACCCCCTCTTTTCATCTTCTCTAAATACCTACTTCCATTCCAATGAGAGTATATGTTTTTACATACTCTAGAGTAAGCATAGAGTAGTTTTTTCCCCTCAAAATGAAAATCCAGGCCAAAGACTGTAATTAAACTCTTTCTTTAAGCTTTCTTTATTTTCTTCCTTAGAAACTCGATATTTCTGTTTGTTACTTCAATTGCTAAAAAAGCCTTCATTCAACCTAATGCAGATCAACTCTTATTATCCCTAGGAAAACTAAAATCATTGTGAAACTAAATATAGAGCCTTCTAATTTTCCTCTAGTCCCCCAAATTACTGTTATCTCTACCTCCTAAATAGCATTAATACAAGTTACCCCAACATCTTTCAGGAGAATATGCAGAATTAGGATAAGCCTTATTTCATCCCAAGGTAGGAATCACTCAGACCACATTCCTCCCATTCTTTAGGGATCAGGTCACAGGCATAGTCCAAGTGTCTTCCTTCCTTGTAGGCTACTTACCAGGGAAGCTTTCCAAGGATAAGTGAGCATTGGTGTGATGGCCAGTGCAAACCATAACTCCATCGAAGACATTCACCTCCTTTTTCCCTTCAGATACCGTGACCACCTCCCATTGGCCTGAAGTGGAGAAATCAGGCTGCTTCTTCACACTGCACACGGTGGTCTGAAAAGAAAAGGGGTAGCCACAGGGCACTATAACCACAGCCCATATAGTGGACATCTTCCCTGACAGGACTCTCCTTGCAGAGGGTAAACAAAGGGCTGATACCGCCTAACAGGCCTCATGCAGGGGTATTTGATTTTCATACTCCACAAATCAGAACTTTTTTGTTTGGGGCTGTGGTCAGAGTGAGAAAACTTCCATGAGGCAAGCTAAATAAAAGAGAGTTGGCAGACTAACGTTGCACTCTCCTCTGCTTCCAGAGAAGTGCAGACTACCAGTTCTCTGCACCATACCCTAGGGCAATGTGCTACGTGAATAAAGTTTGGGCTTCTCTTGTGCTTCTGAGACACTCCATGCACGAAATGCCTATTCCTCCCCATACCCCCAGACATCCTGAGACCCTCTGATGCCTTCTTACCGCAAGTCCTCTTCTCACTGTCTGGCCTTAAACTTGTGACTGAGCTAGAGGGCTCCCTTTCCTAACAGAGTAGAGAAACATCTCAGTGGCTCATATTTTATGTAAATGAACCTCTCTGACTCCCATAAATGCCCATTTTACAATTAACTATAAAGAAAGAAGGTGTGAGATGGGATAGTCAGTGGCACAATTTTTAGCTTTAAAAAATAATAAATATGGGTTACTCTACCCAGGTTAAGGAAACATTAAGAATGTGTTCCTGTGCTTCTAGGGTTTATGACCATAATGTCTTGGTTGACTAATAGAGATACCCCTCTTGTATACCCGAGCCATCCTATACTATTTATTGTTCTTCTCTATCACGTTCTTACTTTTACACAGGCTGGTGCTTCTGCCTGGATCATCCTTTTATTCTTTCTTCATTTGGAGATACTCACCCTTCAACATTTAGCTTGGTATTATCTCCTCTAAGAAAATTTCCCTGGTGCCTGATGCCTCATGCCCTGATGGGTTAAGTGTCCCTCCTCTGAGCTGCAATGAATAGATTTCAGTGGCCTTTATCACTCTGTAACTCTTTATTTTTAATAATTATTTTTACAATTAAATTTCATTTTTCTGTCTCCTTAACTAGACTGTGAAATCACTAATTTTTTGTTTTTGTGTCTTCAGTGCTTAGTATGGTAACAAACCTGTTCAATAAGCATTTAAAGAAGGAAGAGAAGGACCACTAGGCTGTAAATGACTGACTTTGGAAGTCATCACTGGGTACTGCCATTTTAATTTTGTTGTTAAAGAGAAAGAGTCATGATTTAGTAGAATGATCAGAAGGTAGAAGATTTGGGCTTTTTGCCAGCTGTCAGAGTATTGATTCTTTTATGGTCATGGTTTAGAATGATAGGAATATCACAGAAGACTTTACAGCAGGAAGGAACCAGTGAAGTGATCTAGTACAATAATCTTGTTTTACAAATAAACTGAAGGCACATCGGCATTGAGGAACTTACTTGTCTGAAGTCACAAGTTGATTAGTGGTAGAGCAAAGACTAGAACTCAAGTTTTTGTTTCCCAATTCAGTGTTCCTCCCTCTACACCAGAGTTAACTTATTTGTTCCCTCATAACTTTTCAATACCTACTTCACTGGGTTGTTGTGATCATATAAATAATGCACTGGAAAGTACTTCAGAAAGTATAAAAGGGTTAAGCAGCAAGTTGTGGAAACAGAAGGTTTTGAAGTTCCCATACCTGTCAGTTCCCCTCATTGTTTTATTGTAATCAAATGATATAGAATGAAGGCAATGAAATGAAGGTGGCTTCCTGGATCTGCAGTCAAAATACATAGAAGAGGGACCTTTCCATGAATATTTTGAGACACAGGGAAGACACAGAGTGGAGTTTGGATAGGATAGATACATGAGCATATCAAACCAATCTAAGCACTGGTAAATAAGACCAGTTATTCATTTACTTGACAAACAACTCAAAACACAGAGATACCCATGAAATTCCCTACCTTAAATCGAATGTACTTTAGAAAGTCAAATTCATTGGCATACATCCTGAAATACTCCAGGACCTGGGAGTTGTGCATGAAGTTAGGATAGTGATCTGGGATGGGATAGTCACTGAAGCACATCATTTCCTTAGAAGTGTTGATGATCACTGACTTGTAAATACTGGCCCTCCCTTCTTCAGGTTCTTCCTGCAGTAAATAAAAAGCATTCATAGCAATTTGAGAATTAAGGTCATGGTTTATAAACAGCCAACAAACATTTGAAAAAGTTTTCTGAAAGAAATGCCAATTAAAAAAAAGTCCCCTCCCCACAACCCTTCACATCTCCCAGTATTTGTGCCCTCGTGCAGTCTCTTCCCCTTGAATCTAAGTTGTCTTCATGGCTTGCTTAAAAGACCAACAGCATGCAGTTGGAATGATACTGAATGGCTTCCAAGACTAAGTGATAGGTAGTCTTGCAGCTTCTGTCTGGGTCTCTTAGAAAGCTTGTTCTGGTGGAAGTCATCAGCCACGTAAGAAGTCCAGCTACTCTGAGATCATCATCCTG